CACAAAATACTAATTTTAGCCTAATCACAGTAAGAGATTAAATTCCACTGAATTTACTTATCAGGTATTCTTGCAATTATCTGTTGAAAATAAATCTTCCAAATTTAACTTACTGCAATTTCATGTGCCCATCTCAAACAAAGCTTAAGACCTTCTTTAAGGAGTGCTTACACAAAAATGATCAGAAAGGGCCTGAAATGTGTGCTAAACAACCAGAAAAAGTCAAGAAGGGGATATTATGTAGGATGCCATAAAAACAAGGGGAAAAAGAAATTCAGTTAAACAAAATTAATTAAAATCTAAAATCCAACCTCTCCCAATCTTGTAGCAGTATCTGAATTAGTTAAAGAACAGAAACTCTAGGAAGCTAAACTACCAATTGAACTAATAACAGAATTAACATGCAACCTAATCCTATTAGGTCACCTTGGAATTGTGATTTTTCTTCTTACCAAAAACTTAGATCCTTCATCTATGTAGAAATTATCAAGGCTAAAAATTCTAAGCATCATTTTAGCTTCGTCAAAATTACTGATACACATTGCTTTGTCTATTCTCTGATTTCCAATAAACACAGCTTGGATATCTTAAAACTACTGGCCACAACAATACTCAGTTGTTGGTTAATACATAACCACTTCTATAAAACCACTGAAAAATATAAAGAAACCTAAGTTTGCAAAAATGAGGCATCCTCCATTGTTTATGAAATGTACCCTGACTGCTCCTGAGTTAAGAAGGGAGCGCGTCCTCCATGAGATAAGGCTATAATCTCACTTGTTGGTGAGAGCAAATTCTACCCTTAGAAAATCTCAAATGAAATTACAGCAAAGGTAGTGTTCCAAGCAATGAACTGAAACATTTTTGAAGGTAGTGTGTGCACATCTCCACCGCCTCCCTCTGGGTGAGCACTAAGACATTGCTAATTTAGTAAGTAAATTTAATAATGAAAAGGAAATAATAAAGTATAATTATAAATAACCCAAGTATTTATCGAGAAACCAAATTTCTTAACGTCAAAGGTTCATCATTTGTTTTAGCTTAAACCTTCAATTAGTTGAATCAAAGAAGAAAAATGTGAATATTTTTGTAAGATGGCTTTCCAATTTGTAATGACAAAGCTCCCAGTATAACAGAGGTAATTTTCTAAAAGGGTGCTTTTTTTTCTTCTTTTCCTTCTTCTTTTCTTTTTTTTAAAAGTAAAGGCAAACATAACTTAAGGAAAAAAAATAAAATAAAGAAAAACATGCAGGCTCTACAGGCAAGGAGTCCACTTCCATGTATCTGGTCTCTGTGAGGTAACTCAATTCTCTGCGTAGAGAAACATGCAAAAGGCCAAACAATATTCCGAGCCATACTGCACATGGAAATTTAAAATATTCAACATTCAGAATGCACCTTTCACCTCTGTGCACAAGTCAATGCAAAACCTGCAAAGAAGCGTGTCACAGTAATGAAGCCAGGTGCAGCAGTGACAGCTGAACAATGATGCAGTAGTGCTCACCCAGTTTGTACAGTAATTGGCACTCTACAGTATTCCTACTCAGTTTTTGATTCATTTGCACTTTGTGCTGCCTCTCCCTGGGGATCTAATTCAATCTTTACAGAAACATCTGGCCCCTCCGACCTCATTAATTTCATCTTTTTCTTTGGAGGGTTTTTCAAAGTGCCCAGCCTCTCCTTTACTTTGTACTCCAGTGTACTGTGGGGAATCCCATAAATACTCTGAGCTTTGGAAACACTCATTTTTCCACTCATAACCACCGAGATTGCTTCCTCCAGTATCTCACTGTTGTACTGTCTGTAACGCCCTCTTTTCTTCCGAGGCTGCTTGGAGCCAGGGTCTCCTTCTTGATCCGACGTGGGATATGGCTGTCCAGAGGTAGACTGCTCAGCATCTGAGCCCCAAGAATCAGGTCCAGCATCTAATATGCTTTTTCTATTTTGTTTTGGAAGAATAGCCCTTAATTTTTTACTAAGCGCGCTCTCCGTTTGTGAACCCATTACCAAAGAGCTATAGCTGTATTGATCACCAGTGCGAGACTCCCAAGAAAGATCCATTCCTCGAACTTGTGGTATCTTTAAATCTACAGGAGATGAATGGCTCATGTCCCTTTTTCCATCTTGTTTTGTTTGATGTGCCATTTTTGGAAAGGCAGAGTTCTCTGCAAGAAAAGGAAGGTCACTGATGTTGCTGAGTGCACCATTTCCCCTGAACTTCATGCGGATGAGGTTAAATTCGTAATGAGGTTTTGCCCAAGAGGCTTCCCTGGATAATATTAAGTGCTGTCCATGATTCTGTAATCCAGACGGCCCAAGGCTGGCAGCTGTGGACAATTGGTTTCTGCTCAGTAGCTCTTCACTAATCTGCAGGGATCGAGCCAGTGGAACTTTGAGTGATGTGGAGTGTCCAAAACCTTCCCTGGTTCCATCCTGTAAGCTTCTTGGAGGTACCCCATCACCACTCCGAAGTCCATCTGGGCGGTACTGGCTGGGTCTCCCAGGTCGCCTAATTGGATGGAAGGAAACTGATGTGAGCAGGACTTGCACAGGAAGGGAGGGGCGGGTGAGGGGACCACTCCTTTATTAGAAGGCCTTGCTTGGGTAACATCACTTTGTGTTATTTATTTATTTTTCTCTAAAATTAAAAAAAAAAACACATTGTCTCAGCAGTTAGTTTAAAAACTTGATCACAAAAAGGGAAAAAAAGAAAAAAAAAACAGGAATTTTTTGGGCAAAGAAAAATTAAACCTGTTGGCAGTCTCTGGTTGGGTTCACAAATTTTCGGAGAAAAAGTTTCGCGCAACTGTTTGAAAATAGCACCTTAACCATTAATTACAAAGAATCATTAGAGTCTTCATTATCTATACAGAATTGTTTACCAACGTGACGTTACCACTAAACAAGCACAGTAATAAAAGAGTAAGCCAAATTATTTATTTTAATGTAATGCATTCAACATTCATAACAACTAGCTAGAAAGCTGGCAGCATTCACACTGGTGGAACCCAGAGATAATTGCTCATTATGCTACAAACAAGTTAACGTTTATCATTAAAAATTAAACAATTCCAAATGACATTTCTTGTACTGTTTGGAAAAAACCTATATATGGCAAGCAGCCCCAAGGTGAGGGAGGAAGTCAAGTGAAGTTGATAACTTACCACACTTCTTCATTACAACCCTAGTGACTGTAGGCTAACATAAGCACCACACTTCTGCAAAGTAACTACTTTGTATTTTACCCCGTTTTGTTAAGTGACATTCAAAGCCAATATAACCATAAGTATAAATAACTTGGTAGCAATATTTATGAAAAAATTTTCCTTAAAATACCATGTTTATGCTGAAATAAAATATTTTAAAGTCAATTACTTATAAAGTAAACTCACAAGATTTTGTGTTGTTTTAGGATATTGTATGTGTCTTCCTTCTTTGGTCATTCTTCTCCCTTCTTTTTTAGGAGAGGGGACTTTTTTCTCAATGAACCTGGAGCTCACTGATTCAGCAGGCAGGCTGAACAATGACCTCCAGGCATCCTTCTGTCCCCATCCCACTCCCAGGATTGGTAGCCCTGCCACCTATGAGTGATAGAGACCCAAACTGAGGTCTTCATGCCTGTGGAAAGCTCTTCAGTAACTGAGCCATCAGTTACATAAATTAATTATGTTAATTTTCATAACAGAGAAAGGATATTGATCTTAAGACTGATGATAGCTGGCAAAACATCCCTAAGAGGAATGATTGTATCAGTGCAACCCAAAAGTGGAATTTTACAGAAATAAATGGTAAACTATATTCCCCTGGATTTTACAGAGACCACTACCACTATTAACACAGTAACACTCATGCTCAACTGAAAGATGGGCAGTACTACTGATGAATTAATCTTCCATGAAACAAAACATTTCTCACTCAAGAGAAATAAACACAGCAGCTTAAACAATACAAAACACAAATCTGGCAGCCAGGTTTAAGGTGAATCTTAAACAGGGATTTGTTTACGGAAACTGTACTTGGGATTCTACTACGTACGCTCTTACACAACTCAAGTGGTTTTGGTATTGAAAAGGAACCCAAATAATTTGGAATTATGCTGGATTATATTTAGTATACATGCAAGGAAATTCTGAGAAGAGCTTATATTAAAACATAAGAAAACAGATTAATGTTTTTAGACTGAATAGAGTGGGAGGGGAGGAAGACAAATGGAATTTAGGAAAAAATAAGGGGAATTTTTAGAAGTCAGTAGAAGAATCCTTCAGTTTCAAAGTATGAGTAGGGTGGAAAAGTCCATTTAGTGTCTAGTTATTCCTCTAGTATCTAAAAAACCTCCCCATATCAACAGTATTAAAAAGTTTAAGGCAAACACTATTTAAACTTAACTAATGGTATCTAAATATTTATTATCTGCTTTATCAAAATGGTTATTAGATATACATCATGAAAATTATGTATTCTTACAGTATAAAATGAAAGTGGTCACAATTCACTGAGGGGCTAAGAGTTATCAAACTGAGTATATAATAATATTTGGCAACATTAGATGGTTACTCATCTACCTACAGCACTCTATTAAAACAAAATCACATACAATTACATTTTCTGAACTGCCATGGAATTAAAACTGCAGTTCAAATCAACAGTCAATAAAACCAAAAACCAAACAAAAACAAACAAAAATGAACACACATTAACACACACCTACTAGGGTTACCAAATGAAACACAGGAGCCCAATTTTCATTCAACAACTTGAACACATATTAACACCCTCTTCATTTCTATACTTTACAATTACTTAGCACAGGTTCCACACTCTATAAAGCACTGACAAAAGGTCCATTTTCCTTCATTGATAGACTGAGTCATTTTATGAATGGCTCACCTGCAAGACTGTTAAGCTGAAGGGTTAAGTTTTTATAATGCTCAAGGAAACTGGTTGAATCGCCTTTGATGAATTATCTATATAACAGGAAGACTATAAAGGTTTTTCCTTACCCGTTCCCTTGAGTACTGGAGCAGCCTGAAGAATGGCTCAGGGAAGTGCTGCTAGCACATGGACTTTTCTTTGTAGATAAATCAAGTACACCGTCTGTAGAGACACAAAGAAATACCTGAGGACATTAAGAACTGAAGCAAATGTGAAAAAGATATTAATAAAAATTAGAAAAAAGTCAAGGTAACATTTGGCATACTGAGGTATTACATTAAAAAACAAAAATAAAGGTCACCAAGGTTCTTCAGAAGGAACCAAATCTAGCAAACCTGGTATACTGTTATAGGCGTAATAAACATAAACATGTATTTCTCAGGGCTAATTATCTTGTCAATAGGGCAAAAGAAAGTTAAAACATTATAGAAGATGCTAAGATATAATAAGATATTGAAAACAAAGCACAGGTTCTGCACTAGAATTGTTGCACTTCATTTTCTATACTTTTATTCAAATATATGAATTTATTTTTACAAATCTACATCCCCAAATTCCTCAAGATTGATACTTTAAACTCCAAAATCACTTGAACTTAAATGTGAAATTTTTATAATCAGAGAAATATCTGTAAATGATTTAATTATACTTCATGTATACACAAGACACTCTGAAGAAACGAATCACTTAATGTCTTATAATTTATATGTATTTTAACTATTCTCTTTTATTGTTTGTTTTTTTGAGACAGGGTTTCTGTTTAACCCTGGCTGTCCTTGAACTCACTTTGTAGACCAGGCTGGCCTTGAATTCAAAGAGGTCCACCTGTCTCTGTCTCCCAAGTATTGGGATTAAAGTACCATTACTTACATTAAAATACCTGGGATTAAGTACCATTACTTCCCAGTTAACTATTCTTTTGGTACAAAAAGATGTGTATTTGAGTTAAATCTTTTAAGAACCTACAAATTCAAATTTCAGTCATTAAATCTTGTTTAAGAGCTTTTTTACAAAATTATTTTAAAATCGTGTTCAAATTTAGTAAAAAAAAAGGAAACATCTTCGTATAACAGCTTGAAAATGTAACCTAAAAACGAGATGAATCACAGATTTGTGTATTAATACATAAAATTAAAGCCTTTCTTTTCCTCAAAGTTAATTTTACCTTTATAGACATAATTTGACTACTTCCAAAGCTGTTGTTCCATCCAGGGTTAAGAACAAGTCAGAGCTTCTGATTTTGATTTCTAGCTGGCTAGCAGGAAGGTCTTTATATCTATGTCAACAATAAATCCTGGATAGGATCAACTTAAAATTTGAAGCACAGTTTCATTAAAACTTGAATCGCAGTTTCAAGTTGTTAGAAATATGCAACCAACCCTCTAAAATTAAAAGAGCCCAACTTCCTAAGAAGTTTTGTTCTTAGAATTCACTAAAGAATCTACAAGCATAACTATTATGGTAAAGAACAAAGTAGCATCTTATTTAATATCTAATACCCATCCAGAGATGTACAAACTAAATGCAGTGCTTAGAGTATTTCTAACCCAAGACACTTGCTGTAAGTTAGCCTCCCTCCACTACTAACATCTCTTGCCACTCTTTTCTAAATCTGAAGCTTTTGATGCAGTATCTAGAGTCAAGAGACTTTTACTGAAAATGTCATTTTGTAGTAAAAACAACAATCCTCAATAAAACAGGAAAATGTCAGGGAAGCAGAGGCAGGCAGGCGGATCTCTGAGAGTTCAAGACCAGCCTGGTCTATAGAATGAGTTCCAGAACAGCCGGGACAATACAGAGAAACCTGGTCTTGGAAAAAACAAACAAAACACAACTTTGTAAATTCAGTAAGCAAAGGTACACTGGTCAGTGTGAACAGAGGGCTAGAAGGGTTCCTGTAAAGGCCAATCTCCAAACAAGGTATTCTGCTTACTGTACATCATACTCAAACAGGGAGAAAAAGGAGAACAAAAGAAAGCCTACTCCAATACATACCTCAATAAGTAACTAACACCAGTCCATTAAAGGAGACATCTTCATAAATTACTTAAAATAAGAAAAAATGGGTCCTTCTGAAAATATTATTTTAAAAAATTCTTTCTAAAATCAAGATATTTCTTTCCAATAAATCTACACATAACATACCTTTTCTTCTATTCTTAAGTTCTGAAGACAATAAAATCTTTTTCCTAAGACATCATCAATTATAATTATTTTAGAAATTCAACCAGTGCCTCAGTTGCAAAACTGTTGACAGCACATTGTAAGAATACAAAGAAGCAGGAATTTTCAATCTATTTAAAATATACTTCAGAGACACAAGAAACATCTGAACAAAACTGATGACCTCTTAATGTTTTCACTGATTTGGATCCTCAATAATACTTATTTTGGAAATATCTTCAACTTATTTCCTTAATTTAGTACATATACATATATATATACACATTACACATAACAATCTAAAGTACATTCTATTGTCTTTTATTCATAATACTATTTATTTTTATTTTTAAACATAGGTTTTATTATGCAGTCATTGCTGGTCTGGTACACTAGGCTAGCTTCAAACTCACAGAAGATCTGTGCCTCCCAAGTACTGGGATTAAAGGTGTACATTAGTACACCTGGCCTGATACTCTTTTGAAATTACAATACATATTTTTACTTATTTCATTTGTAGAGTGTAACTTCCAAGCAAAGGGTGTTTCTCAGACAGATACTAATACTAGAGCACTGAGGATAAATAGAAAACTTTGCCTTTTTACAATTTTCAGAATCTGATGTTATTTTAGAAAGTGAAAACGCTCATGTTAAAGTTTAAAAATAATTGCCTGACTTTCCTGTGTAGTGTACCCATCACAACCACCATCTGCTAATGGGCTGAGACTGCAACAATGCTATCTGTTCACTTCTCTACCACTGAATACTCAGGACAATTTAATTAAAAAATTATTTTTATTTTTAAGAGACAAGGTCTCACTATGCTGCCCAGATGATGCTCTTGCCTCAGTCCATGTAGCTGGAATGCACAGGGGCATATACCCATGACCAGCTAGAATCACATTGTTTTCTGTCCTATTCTTGTGGTTGGCTTTCTATTTGTAATTTTCTTTCTCCCCAAATCAAAGTCTTCTGATTGGACAGAGACCACAACATCAAACCATACCTTGTTCGCTAGGTTCTGACTGAGACTTTCTGACAGTAAGGTCCAGAGGTGAGTCTTGGTCAGCCATGAGAAGCTTGCTGAGCACAGGGTTCTGAGTAGTTGCAGCGGTGGGAGAGGTGGTGACTGGAGATGCTTTCGGCAGGCTTTGGTTCTTTGTGCTATTGGGCTGGCCGGGGTCCTGAGTAGAGCTATTTTTTGAGGTATATTCAGCAGCAAATTGTTGGATCATTCGCTGCATGATCTCACGGGCCACTAGGGGAATATTGGGGTCGGAGACCCAGGGACTGTCTGTAAACAAAGATTTATTTACTTTTAAACTGGGACGTGAACTAAGGAAAAAAAAAGCTTTCAAGAAAACATGAAACTTCACTTTAGTTTTTTTTTTTTTAAATTAATCTAGTATCCTAACAACTGTATTAACCATTTGTTTATATTCTTAATTGGTAAACATTTAGATCGCAGATTAATGAAAATAAAATTTCTAAGTGTTTATAAACAGTTTACCCCTAGGCTTATGAAATTAAATACAGGGATAGCAAATGGTATCTACTGGTAAGAATCACTTACCTGGTATAAAAATACCTAAGCCTTCTCTTAGGAAACATTTACTGTCAACATCTACAGATAATGTCAAATTTTCCCTAAACTAACTCCTCATATCCTTTAAGTTTCTGAATCTATGAGTGCTTGATTTAGTCCTTGTAAATGACTAAAAGAATAACAAGACTATAAAAGATATTTAACTTTGGGATCCAGGATTTAATTTCAAGATCCATATAAAGACAGATTGCTGGGTGCTGTCCCCAGAATTTCTGATTCAGCAGTTTGAGGCATCAAGAAGTGACATTCCCAACAAGCTGACAGCTGCTGCTGGTTTGAGAGTCACAGTTTTAGAACTCCGAGGTAGGAGTTTAAATGTCACACTTCAAAAGCTAAAGATAACATATTTTTCACAAGTTCTTTAAGTATAACCTGCTAACATTCAAACAATAGCTAGAAAAGTAATAAAATGAACACCTAAGGAGTCAACGTTTAGATAATGTTAATTCAAAACAAAGAACACAGGAATTCACAGACTGGAAAGGAACTTCAAGTTCAAATGGGGTTAAGATGAAAGGGGAAACAATCCGGGTAAACCTGTTATCCTCATACTTCTATAATCATCTAGAGACTCTATCTGATGATTTCTGTATCCCTAATCTTGCCTGGTGTAAAGTGTCTGATCAATTTATTTGGGTAATAAATACAAATCAAATCAATTACCAAATAATACCTTTAATACAAGAGAAATGTGATATAAATTTGTATAGGATGTTACTAGTAAAACTAGCTATAACTACAAGTTTTGGCTACCTTATTAAGATTTAGCTAGAAAAAGCAAGTAAGTGTTCATAATAATTTGGAAATGTGAGGGACTCTAGAAGTTGATTCATAAAGTTAAAGAAAATCTGATTTTTAGTTACTACTAAAATATAAAACCTCCACAATAATAATAAATAATCATAACCCAACAAGCCTCCCAAAAGATGCCAAAGAACAATACTTGGTATCAGAAGATGCTCATGAAGTGACACTTTTATCTATAGACTTGCTCTGTATGTTTTAACTCACCTAAACCATATTTAATAACCCCACAGTTTCCCTATAAATACACTCAATGTTGCAATCAGTTTATCAAAGATATTTAATAAAATTGTTTTTTACAACTAATTGCAATGTTTTGTCATGTTTTAATAAAATATGTGCCATATAGTACCTCTAAAAGTATTTTTATCCGGGCTAGAGAGGTGTCTCAGTGGTGTAATAGTGCTTGCTGCTCTTCCACAAGACAAGGGTTCAATTCCCAGCACCCACAAAGCAGCTCATAACTGTCTGTAACTCCAAGTTCATGGAATCCAACACCTTCACATAGACATATACACAGGTAAAACACCAATGCACATGAAATAAAATTATTTAAAGAAAGGTATTTTTATCCACTCAATTTTTGTGTGCAGGGGTGTAGGGCACTAGTGTCATGGTACACATGGAAGTCAAAGGGCAATTTGCACAAGTCTAGTCTCTCCTTTATCATGGAATTCATGGGAGTCTTGGGGATTCAATCTGGACTGTCAGGTCTGACAACAAAAGCACCTTTATTCATTGAGTCTAGCCCTTTTGAAATTCATTTAATGTGTATGTGTGAGTACCTGCATATGTGTGTGTGTTAAATGCACATTAATATAAATTAACACAAATTAAACATAAATTACTATCTATGCCTGAAGTCCGTACAGGTCAGAGAAGGCATCTCCTGGAACTGGTTTTGAGTGGCTATGTATATGCTAAGAACTGAACCCATGTCCTCTGTCAAGAGCAGCAAGTGCTCTTGAGTTTCACTATTCAGGCTTGGTTGGCCTGTATGTAACTCACTATGTAGACCAAGCTGGTCTGGAACTTAATGATTTGACTACTTCTACCATCCAGGATTAAATGCACATGAATCAAAGTTGGCTTCTGAATTTTCCTATTTATTTATTTGTTTGTTTGTTTGTTTGTTTAATTTATTTATTTATGGTGGGGAGGGGGTTTGAGGCAGGGTTTCTCTGTGTATCCCTGGCTATCATGGAACTCACTCTGTAAACCAGGCTGGCCTTGAACTCAATATATCCTCTTGACTCTGCTTCCCAAGTGCTGGGATTTAAACTGTGCATCACCACCACTTGGCCTGAATTTTCTTATTACTAGTTATTGACTTTACAGTTAAGACCTATTTCCCCTACATAAAATATAATCTCTATATGGAAGACTACATAAAACTTCCATTGTATTAGTGGAATATATGAGGTATGTATGTTTTTGCCTCATGGAAAGCAAGAGAATATATAATAAAGAGATGGCAAAATGCAGCAATTTATGGGATTTCTGTGTTAATAACTATTAAAGCTTTGTGGTCAGTAAGATTTCATGATAAGAATTATTAAGTTCCACCTTGGATGTGTAAACGTCAGTATTATACCTTGTCCCCTTATTGAATAAACACCACAGGCATGAGATAAAATATTCAATGTGTATGACTGACATTGCTGCCATTTAAAGTTCTCTAGAGTCTGAGTTTCCTGAATGTATTCATTCTTTGATTTACTTAGAACATTCTGTAATTATGGTCATACCTAGTGAAACACTCACAATGGAGTCAAGTAAAAGCAACTATGATCAGATGCAGGAGGAGAGAACCTACAGATAAACATATAACTCTTACAGCACAGCACAGCTGGACATAGTGGCACACCTTTTATCCCAGCACTCTGGAGGCAGAGGCAAACTGGAGGCTAGGCTGATCTACACAGTGAACTTCAGCAAAGTAAGAGCTACACTGAGACCCTGTCTCTGAAAGAAACAAACAAGCAACCACACACACAAATGCTCTGTTACAGCACAGTCAGTGGTATATTTCAAAAAGGAAACACTATTTTAAAAAATTATTAAATGAATCTTTGAGATATCTCTCTCTCCCCCCCCCTCCCTCCCTCCCTCCCTCCCTCCCTCCCTCCCTCCCTCCCTCCCTCGAGCTCACTTTGTAGACAAGTCTGGACTTGAACTCACAAAGACCCATTTGCCTTTGCCTCCCAAATGCTGGGATTAAAGGTTACCATAGCTGGCAGAATTATCAAAACGTCTAATACAGGGAATAGAATGGCTGACAAAGAATGTGATTGTGACAACTGTGAGAGGTACAGTGCCTGTTCTTAGGATTTGCTGCACAGGCCCAATTACAAAGACTACTACTACATGGATACTGCATGTATAGCCCTACTTAGCTTTACAAAAACTCCTAAGTAATTATTTAAAATATACAATTTACAACCCTTGGACAAACTAAAACCAAGCACCACAATTAAAGGCTAAACACAACAAACATGAAAATCTAAGCTGCAAAATGCTCTGAAATTCCAATCATTCAAGTGTTGATATAACACTCAAAAATGTTTGAATTTTGGATTTTCCAATTAGAGCTCTAAATTGATGAAGTCCACACAAAGATTCCAAAACGTGAAATTTAAAAACATCTTCACACTCTTCAGCATTTAGGATAAGAAAAAGCCAATCTTGAGTTATACAAATTATTCTCTTCAGGAAAAACTCATTGTCATCTCCGTGGATAATTGCCCATTTTTGGCATTACTGCATGCAAATGTCCATCTCTGAGATATTTTCATTAAGATTAATAAAATACTTATAAAGTAACAATATTAACATATAATACAGAGAAAGAACTTTCAATCCAAAGCAAGTTCCTTTTTCTAAGCACCTCACAACAGTGTGCAACAAATATACAAATAACTTGTTTCTTAAAAATTCGAACTTTTGAAATCCTAAAACCAATTCTAAGGCAAGAATTCCTGCTGTAAACATTATGAACCAAAAGCTTATAAGAATTTCAACCAAAGTTATTCTTTGAGAACAAAGACACGAAACTAAGTAGGGTAGAATGTCACTGAAGGAATCTGCTGTCAGTACCCCCTAACCAAGAAGTAAGTAGAAGGCTTCCCATCTTGAGTTTAAAAGGTTGCTAAAACAGCACACAGACCAAGGACATTGTCTGTTTACACTCTGGTGGAATGACTGTAAACTTATTTGGATAATAAGCCCTGACTGTCCTGGAACTATACGAGATTGAAGATTAAAGGAGTGATATCACACTTGGCAATGTGAATTCTGTTACTGAAACAATAAAATATTAGTAAAATTAATAAAACTACTTTTTGAAAAAAACGTAATTTTGGAAGTGGAGTACTTAATTTGATAAGGTGAGTCTGACAGACCAATGAAAATATAAAACCATGTATTTTTCCCCAAACAATAACTTAGTTAAGGAATACCCTAAGTTTACAGGACATCTCACTTAAATAAGGTTCTGAAAACACTGACCATACTAAGCAGGACAGCTGGTATTCAACAGTAACCAATATTAGAATCCTATTTCACTCCTCTAGTACACTGTGAACCTTGAGAAGGCTGGCAGGCATCTCTGGAGGAATGAGTTGTCTAAGTAGCACTGGACAGGTGAGTGAGTGCACTAAAGGAGATGGGTGCTCTGGGTCTGCTGAGGGTTAAATGTAGCCAAGATAATCAGCAATATCAAGAACTCCTTCCCCCCACCCAACTTCCCAACTGCCTGGATTACACGTGCACACTACGACGTATACCTACGTCGAGGAAACATTTTTAGAAACTATCATAATCACCTCTACCTTAGCAGAAGAAGGAATGTGTAATTAAGGAACAGAAATTAATTCAGAAAGAATTTATTGAAGGTGAAAACTACTGGGCATAGTGGCACACAACTATGGAAAGGAGGGGAGGAGGAGGGAAAAGGAGAGAGGAGAGGAGAAAGGAAAGGAAGAGACAGACAGAAAATAGAGACTCAAAAAAAAAATAAAAAACAAAACAAAAAAAAAGAAAATAGAGACTCTTCACTAATTCAAACAAGATCATAAAGAGATTATACAGATTAAGAAAAGAATTAAAGCTGGGAGTAGTAATACAAGCCTTTAATTCCAGCATTTGGGAGGCAGACGCAGGCAGATTCTGTGAGTTCCAGGGTATAACTTGGTCTACAGAGTGGGATCCAGAACAACCAGTTACATAGTCAGACCCTGCAGGAAGTGTGGTGAGGGGATAAGGGTGGGGCATGGGAGCAGGGTGGGGATAAGTGGGGAGGGAGGCAAAATGGATGAAACTGACAACAACATAAAAAGAAAGACAAAGAAAAGGGTTGGAGAAATGGCTCAGTGGTTAAGAGTATTTGTTTTTGTAGGGGACTGGGATTTGATTTCCAGCACCCACATGGTAGCTCACAATTATCTATATATAATCCCAATACCAGGGTATCTAACCTTCAAGAGCACCAAGTACACATGTAGTGTACATACGTACAATCAGGGAAAACATTCATATGTAAAATAAAATTAATAGATTTTTTTTAAAGTTTTTTTTTTTAAAGAAATAGAAGAATTACTGTCTCTACGAATTCCTAAGCCTCAAGACTGACATATGCCTCTGCATATGACACGGCAAAATAATGTCACCATACCAACTCCATTTTTTTTTTTTTTAAATCTCATAATGTCCTAAGATATGTTTACCAGGCCAGCCTGGTCTACAGAGCAAGTTCCAGGATGCAATCTAAAGCTACACATAGAAACCCTGTCTTGAAAGAAAAAAAAAAATGCTTACAAATATATAAGTCAACTACATTTTCACTTCAAATAAAATTTCAGGTCAGATTTTCAATTTACAGAACTGGTTTTTAATAAGTGTTAAGGATTTAAACAGTAGCATTTTATATTTTAAAGCTTGTCTAACAAATTGCAGTCATAATAAATTTCTAAACTACTTAACTAAACCCCTACTCCAGTATTAAAGAAGGCAATAGGTGTCTTAACCTTATTCCAAATTTAATGTGATAAAGGAACAGAGAAATGTTTTAGGAATAACTTAAAATGACACTGAAATTACGGAAATTAATATAAGTCAAGCAGGCTATGTTGTTTGCCACCAAAACCAACCTTTTCTATAAAAGACTGCATTGAGGAACTCTTCTGTTTGTCTCTGGAGTCGAGTGACTTTTGCGTGCTCTTGTTTAAGCAAAGCTTCTTGCCCAGCTCCGGAGGCTGGTTCATCCAGACCGACTAAGTATCCCTGCAAAAATATCGTGTGAAATGTTTGTACAAAATCTCTCCCCATTTAAAAATCCAAAGCACAGATGCATAAAAACAAGTGTTACTAGCCAATAAGACAAACTAGCATAATACAATTAAAATATTTACAAACTTTTAATCTTTAAATACTTAGAACTTAAATTCTGTTCCTAAATAACAGTATTGTAATAATAGTCCTCAGATCTTACTGTATTGTTCAATTAATTGATAAATAAGTCAAAACTAGCACTATGATAGAGAACTAAAATCACACACCGCCTGTTACAAGTACACTTAAGTATTTTAATTATAGTAATATATGTGCTCGAACACATATTACATACACGCAATAAAATAGGGATTAAAAGTTCCCAAAGTGTTACAATCAACTCACTCCAGAGACTGCCAACATTACTTCAAGGCTGCTGCAGCGCTATGGTAAGCTGATAGTGCTCTCTGCATTTACTTCCAGCCTTGCCTCTTACAAGTAAACAGGAGGCCAGAACAATGACAATGACCACAGAAAACAAGATAGAGAAATGCACAGTATACCCTCTAAGCATCCATTAAGTACTGTGTTCACATGCCTTCCACATTACAGCAGCGTTTAAACTAATGCATTTACAAATTTTCACCACAGACTACTTAAAGCTTTCTAAAGAAAGTAGGTCATACTTTGCACAATAAAATGTGTTTAAGAATCGAAAGCACATTATAACCCACAAACTCCTTACACGTTTAAAATACACCCACTAATGTCTGAAACCACTTCCTAGGATTTTCCTATTACAATCACCATCATACCTATTTGTTTCACATTTAAACTCTTTCATTTCATTAAGATATAATTCAATGATACAACTCACCCATGTAATGTAAAACCCAATGGATTTTATTCGTAACTATAAATTGTCACCATCACAATGTGAGTATTTGTATCCCATTTACACACAACCTCTATCCTGCTGCTTGCAGCCAGCCCTAAGCAGCCAGTTATACTTTATTTCACTTCTGAAGATATGCCTATTGTGACCACTTCATCTAAATGGAGCCTTTTTTTTTAAGGCGGTGACATTTTCTCCTAGAATATAATTTAAAGATTCATCTATATCATAGCAGATGTTTGCATTTCCTTTTATTGCTGAATGAACATTCCAATTTATGGCTATACTACATATTATCCATTTAACAGCTGATGACTATTTGGACAGTTTCCACTTTTCCACTATCACATAAGAAATGAGAGTATTAAGTACGCAAGTTTTTGTGTGGATGCCTATTTTAAATCTCATAACTATACATACAGTTAAAAGGTAATTTCTAGATCACTATATTTAGCATTTGAAGAAGTGTGAAAGTAGCTGTACCACAAAAATGTATGGAGTTCCAAGTTTTCCATACAGTCATGAATACCTTCTTTTTCTAAAAAAAGAAAAAAAATCCATCAGTGATAGGTTTGAATGAAAGTGACCCCCATAACCTCAAAGGGTATGGCAGTATTAGGTGTGGCTTTGTTAGAGTGGATATAACCTTATGCCACTGTGAGGGTGGGCTCTGAGGTTTCTTATGCTCAGGATACTGGCCAGTGTCTCAAATTCCTGATGCCTTCAAGATGTAGGACTCTAAGTTACTACTCCAGCACCATGTGTGCCTACATACCACCACACTCCCTGCCATAATGATGATAGATTGAACTTCTTAAATTGTAAGTAAGCCACCCCAATTAAATGTTTTACTGTATAAGAGCTGCCGTAGTCATGGTATCTTTTCACAGCAATAGGAACCCTAAGATACCATTATAAGAGAAAAGTGTTATGTATGGTATGCTTTGGCTTAGGTTTATATCTGCCTGCTGTCATTTGATGTCAAACTTTTTCTGTAGTCTTTGGTCATGTGAACACTTCTTTGAAGATTCAGATTATCTGCTCACCTTTTAATTAGACTATGTTGTTATTGTTACAAGTTCTTGATATATTCTTTATCTATTATGAAGTATATAAAAGCCTTCCCTACCATACTTCAGAAAAGTTAATTAAGAATTAGTATTAATACTTTAAGTATCTGATAAAACCAGAATCCATGGTTTTTCCTTGATAATTTATAAAAAAAGATTTATATTGATTTATATTATCTGCATGAGTGTTTGCCAACATGCATATATGTTCCTAGTGCTCACAGAACTCAGAAGGTGGCATTCAATACTCTGGGTCTGGATGTAAGTACTGGGAACAAAACCTGGGTCTTCTGAAAGAATAACCAGTGCATTGAACTGCTGCGCCATCTCTCCAGCCTCCAGACTATAGGTGTGTGTGAAATAATCCTTTTGTAAACTGTAAAGATTTGTCATTCAAATTGGCTTAATTAACAACTGACTGGCCTACAGCTAGGCAGAAGAGTTTGGGCAGGAGAGACAGACTAGGAGAATTCTGGAAGAACAAGGTGGAGTTAGGAGAGTCTCCAGCCAGACACAGAGGAAGCAAGACGTGTACAAAATAAGGGCAAGACGTGTACAATATGAGGTAACAAGCCATGAGTCACATGGTAGAATTTAGATAAAAAATATAGGCTAATTTAAGTTCTAAGAGTTT